TACTGGAGGACAGATATATGGGTCACTTTGCAAAATTGGTACGTACAGAGTTAGCCTGTTTACAAGCAGGGAGTACATATTCAGACTACCTGACACATTTTCTTCTATCTGCCACCTAGTGCTCTCCATGTCATTAGACAGGCATATTTTTAAGTCCACTACTATACTGAACAAATAAACCAGGTAGAAAAATTGAGGACACACACTGGTAGCAAGTCCAGAGATTTCACTTTTTTCCAGACAAAACAAGTACCAGTGAAATTTGGAAAGTGAACTTCAAACCACAACTTTCTCAAAAGGAAATACTTCAGTTTTCTTTTAAGAGAAAAAAATAATGCTCCTATGAGAAGTATTTGCCAGGGGCAACCTCCATCTTCACAGTGTTCTGGCATCACCGGGGACCAGTCAAATTGTTGGTTTTCCTATATAAAATCCTTAAGGGAATTTCAGACAAGAGAGGTAGAAATATCAGTGCCAAACTTACTTCCATAATAGAAACTGCTCCTGATGGCAAATTAAGTCCAGTAAGGGACACAAAGAAGAATATCACCTCAGAGCTCACCAAAACTTGAACCAAATGACTTAGAGAAGAGACCACCTGCCAAGCCAAAGCAAATACAAGAAACAAAATAACTTCTTTTATGTTAGTAAACCCATACAAACAGATCAGTTTACCAGAACTTGTGATTTCTGGGTCAGAAGACAGCAGAGGAAGACATGTGGAAGAAAACTGCCTTTCTTTCGTTTTCTGTTGCTAACTTGGATTTACCAGTACATTTCCATATTGGAACTATAAATCAAGGTGTAGAACTCCCCTTGCTTTGACCCCACCATAGAAGAGCTGTTTGGGTTGGATGAAGAAATGTTAAAAACTACATTCACCTAGTGAAAACACCGATTTTTTTATAATTTATGACTCCAGTAAAACTTAGAAACTTATCAGTAGAACCACACATATGGTAGAGCTATCCACAGATTATTAACAAACATTACGGTGGTTGATTCATACAAAGTCTTTTTCATTATTTTTCTTCCCTGTCTTATTTTGCACTATTTAATAGCATAATATTAAGTTTTGTACAATTAGTCTGTTAACAACGTATAGCTACTTTAAGGAAAACAAGCTCGGGAAAGCATAAAAACACTTTACATAAAGTGTAACTCCTTATACCATTTGAGAGAGTGGTTTCCTTGGGATTTTTTTTTGACAATCAGAGCACCAAACTGCTGTTTCATGAAAATTAAAAAAAAAAAAAAAGAAAGACTTAGCACTGAAGTGGATCTTCCAGATCCACTGCAGCCAAAGAAACTGGTGGTTTCGTTCACAGTCCCTGCAGGACTGCTTAAGTGTAAGACATTCCAAACAGGGACAAACTAAATTGGGATTATACTATGAAGTTTTGCTAACAAACCACATAAGAAAGCAACATTAGTTTCATCTCCTCCTGACAGCCACTTTTAACATGCCAAGTCAACCAAGAAGTTGATCACAATTGCTGTGATGAAAACTAGCTCGTTTCTTGATGCACAAGGTCGCTTTTCTGATAAATATTGCCAACTTCAGACAAATATTCCAGCAGTTTCTAAGAGCTCTGAACAATGACATAGTACAAGAACTGGTTAAAGGGCAAAGATCTTTACTGACTGAAGAGAGCAATGCTATTTGGTACTGTAATTTGGAAAGTCTACACAATTGTATATAGCAAGCCCACATATAAGCCAGGGCACTGGTGATGTCTTTGGGCACTTAATTTCTACAATTCTATGTGAAGTACTAGAAGGAGCAGAAAGACTTTGAGAGCACGATACACTTGTTCTTAAAAGCAAGAAACAAGTAAAAAGAATGAAACTGTCAGTGTCTTCCTGTTCACTCTTACTTACATATCACAGCTATTGTTCCTCCCAGCATCTCCCTCAAGTTCCAGCACAGACAACCCTGAAGACTTCAAGAAATCACCTTCCCAGAAATTGCCAATTTACTGGCCACCAAGGGAAAATATAAATAGATGATTAATCAGATGGACCTGTTCAGGAGGATAAGTCAACTAACAGTAATGACAGCACCAAGATTCCTGTAAAAGGAAGGGGAAAGGGAGAACTCCTTCTACACGTATCCAAGAATGACAGCAATGCCATAGAAACCATGTAAAAAAATCAATACAACGCAGCCACTGAGCTGGGAGCTGAAGACCAGCTCTAAGCAAAGGTGAGACATTAAATCACTGACTAGAACTACTTTTGGTAAAATGTCATAATTGAATTACAAATCCTATCCTAGTCTGATTTTACTTCAAAAAATTAATCAGAGTAATTGCGTTATCCCTTTCAGGGTCTTTAAATGTATACCATCCCTCCCAGGTAACTACATTTGTAATAAAGTTCAGAACTCCACTGAATGTAATTCTTCTGTTAAAGCTCAAAATGAAATAATGATGTTTCAACATGATGTATATTATATAACTGGAAATTTTCATTACCAAGACTAACTTATGGACTGCTCATCAGATGCCTGTACACCTATCTTATGGTACCACATGTCTGTACAGATGTGGAATACGTAAGGATCTCAGCCACGTACCTAAACACCCAGGTTTTAAGTTACTGGGCAACAACTCCTGATCCTCATCCCTCACTCTCTAATAACCAGTGCCGTCAATAAAGTTTGGCTTCTACAAACCGAAGACCTTATCATTGCTCAATATGATCTGGAAGCAATACTAAAGCCATGACAAAGTAAATTGTGTTTCATCGTTTTTTTCCCCTCCTCTGGCTGTGAGAACACACAGATCAATACTCTTCAGCATGAGAATTCTGTAGCGAAATTTTCATTTGTTACAAACAGCAACAAAAATGCCCCAAGCATGCCCTGTCACTTCCAGTTTAGAAGGAAACGCACTAATAAACTCTTCCCCCTGGGTCATCTTTGACAATGGGCAATACTATGCCAGCTCTTATTAAAGGCAATTCGTATCAGTGGCCCAAAAATTTCCTTTAAAATTATCATCTTTTGTATCCATGTAGCAGGATGTCAGCTTTAAAGTGCCACTGAGATATAGGACCTGTCATTATGGTTAATTTTCAGTACGGTTTTAACACCAGGGTAGCTGATCCCTAAGGGTATGCTTTTTTGGCTAACAAGATTTATTTAGTGGTTATCCAGACAAACAAGAAAATATATTACTGTATATTGCTTTTCAAATATAACAGCAAGCAATAAATCCTACTATAAAACATAAATCTTTGTTCTCTACCATGATGTCAAAGAGATGAAAACGTTTTTAGAAGATTAATCTTTTTCTTTTATTTTTCTTTTCTTTTTTTAAATTATATATATAAAAAAACCCAACCTTAAAATTCTTGGGCTTCCAATGCAAAAAGCACACAAAAAGTAAAATTAACCTTAAAATACGAAACCTATATAGCTGTTGTATATATAGCTAGCTATCAAGTTTATGTTTTGAGCCATAAAGATGGTATTCTCTATCAAATGACCAAAGCTTCTCAGCAGAACAATACACTGCATTGAAAAAGAGAGTACTATGAAGTTTGATATTATTATCTAATTTTTTGAGAGAAATACTCATTTAAACATCATTTTAGTGCTGTTATAATAGAAAAAAATAGAAAACTTCATTTATTGTATAAATACATCCATTCGCCCTGCTTTTCTAACAACAAAACAGAAAGTCTGTTTTCATGCCGGAACAGGACTAACTTCATTGTATTAGGATGAAGGCTATCTTGCACTTTGTTGGACAAAAAGTACATCTACAGAATAAAAAAAGCTGTTAACATATTGTCTAAATCCTCATACGGTCAGCAAAGCCCATTTTTATTGATGTTATACAGAAGGCATAAAACCTAGTTGGCCTCAATCAACTGGTCTCCCAGGGAAGAGACCTCTGCCAGTAAATGCCAGGTACCAAGTATCTTAGAGCATTTCCTATGCTCCTTTTATTTCTGCAAGCTGAGGACGAACTTGCTTTCCCTGTCCCGGCTCCAGACGCAGTGGCTGCATCCCAGATGCCAACTGACCAAACAGCCCATTGCTGGACCAACGAGTCAAGCGAGAGCCCATCACACACCTGACCCCTGCACTTACCTGGCCAAAACAGCCCCCGCACCAGGCAGCAGCATCACAGGCAGATTCTGTACACCCTTTCTTTTTCCCACTTCAAAAACATTAAGCCTCCTCACAACTAAAAGTGAAATGAGCAATTTTGCAGGTGACACAATTAGGCAAGGAGATACTTCATAGCTTATCCCAGGCCACACAGCAAGTGACTTTCAGAAGTGAAAACTGAACTCCTATATTCAACCATATCCTTTGCCAGTCAGAAGACGTGCTTCCAGAACACAAAATGCGTAAATACATCACGAACCCGACCACCACACACAAGCTATGGTTGCACCTCAGCAGGCTTCTGAATGAATTGCAACAAAAAAGTATTTCAAGTAGAAAAAAGCAAGTTTTTCATTTTCTTCCTCCTACTTCAGAGGTTGGAAATCATCATAGAACATCTCCATAACGCTCTCAGTCCTTGGGCAGGTGAAAGTTTACAACTATTTTCATACATCTGTCTTCCAGGTAACAGAACAATGTATATTATTTGCTGTACTACCAGTCTGCTCAAGGTAACAGGTTTTAAAAGGGACTGTTAACTAACTACACTGGATTCTCTCACACCTGTAGAAATATTTATGAAAAGTTAAGCAGTTTTCACCTGAAGTTCAACAAATAGCATCCACAGAAAAGCATACAGGCATGTTACACGCATCGCAAGATCAGGGTTTTTATACAGATGTATTCTATGGAAAGCAGTTGTAAGAAGTTTTGCAAACCAGTCTTTCATTTTATGACAATTTCAGAAGCCTCACAGGGCTATCTTTGTATGATCATTTCAGATCAAGGCATCTGTAGGCTAAATAAAAGGTGTAAGTAGAAAGCACTGGTATTAAGAGCATTTAAATGGATAAAAGGAAAGCAGTTAAAACTTTACCTCGAACAATAAGTTGAGCAAAATTTGACACTCCCGAACCTCTCTCTGACTGAGTCACACAGCGGTATAAATCCTGGTCAGTTTTTGTCACCTCTTGCAACTTAAAGGTAGCAGCAAATCTTCTGTGATTGATATTTTTAGTCTGAGCAACCGGAATATCTTCCCCATTTCTTCTCTGAAAGTAAGAGAAACCAAGGCAGAGTTATCTCGTAAAAATAGAAAAGACATTTATCATGATCATCATACAAAGAGTACATAAAACCACCAAATTCATTCGCCCCGTGCTGCATTTCCATGGTAGAAGAGCTCAGTGCTGAGGTCCCGTCAACAGGCAAGCAATACTCAAAAACATTCCAGAATCAAGTCTGGGGGTGAAAAGCACCATCAGGCTTTCACACTGCCACAAAACATGACCACGACATACTCAACTGCCGTTGCTTCATAGCTGGAACCGCAGGAGAGCCCAGCAGCAGCAGTTGTACTCCTAAGAAAATTCATTCAACTTTAAATAAAATTCTAACAGATATACTGGGTGTATTGTAAGAAATATTTAAAACAAACCTGGCATTGAGGGATTTCATAGGTTTTCAACAGCTCTTTTTCAGCAACCAGCCAATGTTTCCTTTTTAATGCTCCCTTTTATCTGCCCAAATTCAATACCTTCTAAACTTGTACCTTTGTTATACTAAGCACCACCTATCTACCTAAAGCTAGTTGAAATAAAAAGGGGAGGGAAAGAAACTGCTAAAAGAGGAATGATGTATATCTCATTTAAAGGAAGGAGCTTAAAGAGTTCTGAAAAAATCATAGCTACCACAAATCACTGAAAAATTTAATCTGTCTGGAGCTGCGGGGCAGGGTGAGAGGTCAGTAAGGTAGAAACAGTTTGAGCTCTTTTGTGACCCTTTTCCCTTATTCCCATTCATAGTAAATGCTCAATTTTGATTTTAATCGAAGAACAGACCCTCCACCAGAAGTTAGCATTAAAAAAACCAACCAAACAAAAAAAAAACCCAGAAACATGCACCAAGCGAACAAGCAATGTTCCTGCTCTCTCCCATGGATAACTGCATGTTATTCCCCGACCAGGATACAGCTTCTGAGCACTCAGCTTTGCTCGGTCACCAGAAAGACATCATCATTCCCTTGTAACTGCATCGCCTGCTCTGCTCAATACATAGCAAAACGTGACCTCTACAGACATTTTTAGCTCTAATCAACCCCCAGAATAAGAAACTTCACTGAGGTCTTGAACTCCAAGCTTTCTGTCTAACACAAGAAGCGGCACTGCTGAGCCACAAAATCTAATAACCTGAAAGCCTGTGGCAAAAATAGAAAGGGGAGAAAAAGGAAATGAGTTAATGCTGCATGTGTATATTAGCCGGCCTCCTGTCACAGGCAGGAGTACTTCATAATACTCAAACACTTCATTTTACATCTACCCTTCGTGATCTTAGCACGGGTTTGTCACTCTCTAAACAGTTTTGCGGTAGATTAGCCAGGGGTTCAGCACTGCTTCAAACTCACTGAAACAAGTATTCATTTTAGCTATTGATATTTTAAAACGGATTAATTTTAACTTCTGCCATCTTTCTTGCAGCAGTCAAAGCACCCATCCTATGCTTCACCGCAATCCTTGGGTGAAAACGTTCATTTATACCAACGTGGCAGATTTCAGCCACTGGTATTCCACTGCAAAGACCACGCCATCACCTTTATCAGCAGCAGGTTTATTGGTGTGACTCTTCCTCATTCCATGAAGACACCACCCAGTTTTTTCCCCCCAGCCGCCCTCTTTGCCATTACACCAGGAACAGCAGGGAGCTGCTACCCAGGGGTAAGCTCAGCCTGCAGGGCCGGGCCAGAAAGTACAGTGGAATGCAGAGAGTGAAACCAGATCTCCAAAAGAAGCTGGCGCATGAGACACTTCCAAAAGGTACTCTCACCGCTTCTCCCTAGAACAGTCACCATCCCATAACCACCAAAGGCCTGCTTATCACATAGATGCTATCTGACAGGGTGTTCACAGGGCAAAAGCAACGGAGGTTGGGCACTTGGAAACCTGGATCCACTGCAGCACAGCCGAGTCACCCTGTGGCAGGCACCGGCTCCCTCCTCAGCTCTGCGAATATCTGCCTCCTATTAAGAAGAATTAAGGAAGTCTGCTGATGCCTGCAAAGACTCCTACGAATAAAAGGCCTTATTGAACTTCAGGGATCAATGAAATTATTAAATTCCAATATCACGCAAATGAGAGGTGATGTTAAAGGCTTTATTTCAGTGCTGCTTAAGCTACAGTAAAATTATTTTGTGGGAGGTGCACCTCCCCCTCCGGTTAGCTAGCTTCTCCTGGTAGCAAAAGCTAAATCCGAAAGCAGGATTTTCAAGCTACTTCCCCCCCCCCCCCCCCCCCAGTTTCGACCAAAGGCTTGAACTCTCTGGAATGATGACTTAATATAAAACTTGGATCTAGTGACCTGAAGTAACCAAAATAAACAAACCTCATGGTACTTTCTTCCTCTGGTGCTTGTCCGTGCCCTCCCACAGAGCATGCTCTCATCGCCACACCACAGCCAGCCAGCAAAGGGAAGTCAAGCTGCCCCACTAAACACAAACTTGCCATGTAATTGTTAAAATGACCAAGCAGCATACAATAAACAGAAGGTGTAGTTTTAAAAATTATGTGATAGCAGGCTTGGCAAGTAACCCATGTAATGCAGTCATTCTTGCTCTGCTATGAAGGGAAAAATAAATATCAGAGAGTTTTCTAAAAGGAAGGACTCCCTTCAGTAAGTCCAGTGCTTTAAATTTGAATGCCAAGCAATCAGTCTGCCGCAGAGAAGCACATCTAAGCTTGCTGTGTAGAATAATTCACCACCCGAAGCTCAGAACTTGCTTGCTTAAGCTGGTCTGCACGCTTCATCTTAAAGAAACAAAGTGAATTGGGCTCCTACTTAAAATGAAGTATTAATGCACTTTCAGAGCAATTATTCAAAATAAAATTTAACAAGCTTTACAGTTCTACACCAACAGCAAAACCTAGGATTAGGTGATCAGTGATTTCCTACCACTTTATCTTACAAGCCTTAGAGTAGTTGCTCAAATTTCGCTTCGTTAGGATTTGTTTCTTGGGAATCCGACTGCACAATTACATCTTCAAAGTCTATCTTCACGTACAGCTTATCCATTAAAATATTTTTCCATCATTAAAATGATGAAAAGTTCAAACAGAAGAGAGTTCTCACTTAAAAAAGAATGTTAAAGAAAATACCCTGCATTCATTTCAGCGTGTATCCCTTACACCGGTAAGCCATTAGCCAGTCAGGGTTCAGATGCACTGCCACGATCTCTTAATTAAATTCTTCTTTTTAATGTCAGGGCATTACTACTGATTTTATAGAAGAGGAAAGAAAGGCAGCAGTGCTCCCTGCTTATTAGAGGGTTCCTGGTACATACTGTTTCAATTTATGTCCTGCTCACACTGAACAGAGCTTGAAAATGCTGCTCAATTAGGTTTTAAAAATTCAATTTAAAAATTAATGTGGAGTTATACTAATAGGTAATGGCTGTACCCTGTGCGATCCTTGGTTCCTCCAGTCCCTTGCTGTCTGATTTGATAACCCCGAATCGCTCATTTAGGAGAGGTCAACACCAGGCAGTTCTCCTCCTTTTGCGAAAATAACTCTGGGCTTCACAAAGAACTATGCTCTATAAACACCTGATTAAAAGAAATATAAGTATGTGGAAAAACCTCCTTAATTCTGGCATTTCAGGCATTTAAAATTATGACCTTAAATAAGACTCTGTGACTTCAAGGTTATTTTTTATTTGATAAGAACATTATTTTATTAATATTTTTTCAGGCAATTAAATGAGATCATCCATATTTTAAACAAAATCAACAGTAAAGTCTACGCAGCTTAAAAAACAATCATAGGCAAATTAACAATTAGCCTTAAATTTCTCTTTTGTCTCATGAAAGAAATCAAGCATTTAAATAAACATTAAATGAAATTTTAGTGGATCTTCCAGAACCTGAACGGAAGCAGAAGCATCTAAACCCCAACATCTTATTTATCTGGTAGAATTTACGCGCATTTCTAATTTTTTAATACAAATTTAAAACTTATCTGTATTTCTCTCTCAACTCTTCAGGATGAAAAGTGGTGTTTTTTGCTTTTCTGTTTAAACAGCAATAAGATACCATCATTTTCTGCAGTGATATTCCCTCTAAATTTTCCTGAACTCTTTTTTTTTCATACCAGTGATTTGTATCAGCCTGGACAGCTCAACCTTACACATCCCCGTCCCTTCCTTAGTGTAAACACCTTAAAATAAGTCCGCTCCGCTGCTAATAATTACAGTCAACTCTGGTTGCCTTCCTGGGCTCTCGGCTGGACGCCGGGATGCCTCCAGAGATCAGGAGATGTCAACACTTCAGCTGCAGTGACACACACGTTACTCTGGCAGCAGCGCCCACTTCAGCTGGCCCCCCCAGTCGCTCCCTCCTCACCTTCACTCCTGTGCTCATACAGAAAACTGACCTGGAAGAAAAAAAAAACCTTCCTGGAAAACATATTCCCCTCCCCATATATTATCATCACCAAACGGATTAGCTCATGATCGGATTCACTATGTGGCCACAGGGAGCGGAGGAGAGGGCAGGATCTCTGCAGGGAGCAGGGCGCAAGCCGAGAGTTTGTCTAAGCAGCTCGGTCCCTGAAGGTGCAATCAAAACTTCACCGGACAGCAGAAGGGCTGGAAGGATGCCCCCAGCAGCCTGGGGAATTACACCTCTGCTGCCCCGAGGAAAAGGGAATTTGTAAATAACGTGCTCCAAAACATTCCTGGTTTTACTCATTGTGTAAAGGGAGAAAAGTCTTTTTTTCCAAGAGAGAAAAGGGTTGAATGTGGATAGTTTGAATGCCAGCAATAATGCGTGACCTCTGCCAAAAGATGTTTTTGAAAAATAAAAGAATGTGAGGGGAATAAACAACACAAATAACTATACTTTTTAAATTTAACTTACATGTAGCTGTCTGGCACTTCTCAGCACACACAGCATATGCTTTTACAGCATTTAGGACGCAATTTCCAAAAAGAGGAAAAAAAAAAATCTATCTTTCTAAAAAAATTTCTTATTATTTTTATTTTATTCTTTTACACAAATGTCTC